ATGATCATCAGTTAGAGTATCATTAGTTTTTAAAAAAAATTCAGAACTTTGAATGAGTCTTCTACTTAATTATTAAAAGGCTAATAAACAATTTCTTTCACCGAACCCTCATCATTATTTTGCGCTCCGTTTAGAATCGGATCCACTGATTCAGAGCTATAATCCTCTATGATATTGTCATCTGTAAGAAAGCTTGATGTACAAATTTCATTGTCAAGCTCAATATAATCGTTAAAAGAAGCATTGGAGGTTATTTTATTTACTTTAAACCATTTTAGCAGCGACTGGCATTTGCACAAAGAAGCAACATAAGACAAAAAATTAAACATTTGATTTGAAAAAAAGGGACTTTTCCTAACACCAAAATGCATTCATACGAGTACTTAAAACAAAAACTCTACTTATAGAGTGCACTTTCCCATATTCCTATTGCCATGTGACATTGTTTTTATTCGAGTCATAGAAAAATTCGAGTTATAGAAGTTCGAGTTATGAAAGTTTGACTGTATTTTGAGAAAGATTTTAGTGAGCTTAATGTTTGGAAACAAAAACCTCTTTAGAAATTTTTTTAAGTAATGTTTAAATTAATTGTTAATAAATATAAACAATTTCAATTCTTTGAACTTTTGTAAAACATTCAATCAATTATCTATAAAATGCAAAACACTACCTCTATCATATAGAGAGTCTGTAAGGTGTACCTCCCTACAAATGTAGGGTGTACCTCCAATTGAAGACACCAATAATTACAATGTAGTTGGCAATAGTTATATCACTGAATCCAGCATCTACAAGTTAAGTAATACCTAGATAAATCAACTTTAGAACAATGCATCTTCTTCGTCTTAACCATGTAGGAAAGATTCTTCCGTTCTGATGTCGCTGATAAATCTTGATCTTAATCGTTCAAGATGGAAAACTGCAAAGTACCGTTATATGAATGCAGGGTATTAACTTATACACATAGCACATGGCACACATGGTTAGTGAAAAGAATTAGAATTAAGAAATGTAGTCGATTTTCACTGAATTATATTTTAGCAGTTAATAAATCGACAGCCAACGAGTCCTGCCGAGTAACTTCTATAGTTACTGCCGTGCTGACTGCCTTCATTTATCTTATAAATATGCAAATTATACCAAACGTATTCGTATGTAGACAAAATTCTGAGTATAGAACTCAGAAATATCTCAGTGTATTCATCTAAAAATACACTGAGATATAAAACTCTAACTGAATATGTATTTATTTATGGATTTCAAGTGAATTTTTTCTATTGAACGACATTATCGTTCAAAGTAATGTACAGTACATTATCGATGATCTGATTTCGCAAATTGAATTAATAACACCATATATATTTATTTTATATTAAACGTTAAATTCCTATAACTAATCCTGTATTTTTCAGGAATTATGTCTGCGAATACTACTTGCTAACCAACCTATGATATAGGAATAATGTAAAGATATTAAGTCTCCACTTAAACCAACCAACTAAAGGAATATATTAACAAATAATTTTCCTTTCTTAAGTGAATTTTTCCGCTGAGCTTACTGGTTTTTTAGTTTTATAGTTTTATATACTTTTTATAGATAAAAACTTTAACTAATTACAAATAATTTTATCATTCTTTGGTTGGTTTATGATTTTATTCTATTTTATTCTATTATATAGCAAGTGAATGTCTTGATGAACTTTTACAATAAATTAACGAACTCCAAGTAAGAACAAGTAAAAACAGTAAAAGTTCAGTACAATATAGGGGCAAGTAGCTAAAACCTTGCTCTGCATATTAATTTTGGCTTGGTATAACTTTTAGACGTGCCATTGAATTATATGAAATTATTATATGAAATAAGAAATATTTTCAAAAGGTCAACGATGATGGGTACTTGGCAATACACGGACCAGCTGCATGGGCAGTTAAAAAGTCGTTTAATAAAAATTAAGAATAAAATTTTGTTGTTATTCATTACTACTCAAATGACTTTATAATTAATATTGTAAAACTTTCGTCGTTGTGAGACTTTTTAACACTATTTAAGACATATCCGGGTATTTATGCAGTCCATAAAACCTATTGCGAACATCAACTGATGTGTCGATGAATAAACTTAAAGCCTTCGGAGTGTAATATTATAGACGAATGCTAAACATCAGTTCAACGAAACATTTTAATAATTGTTCAATACTTTACACTTTAATATGTCAAGGAAAATATTGGCGACAGTGCAATGGCGAATACTGGAACACATTGGTCATATCTTAAGGTCAGAAAAAGTCATAAAAGTACGATATACTCAAGTTGACCATTGCAACTGGAATTTAAGAAAAATTCACCTCTGGTAGATAAAGGATATAAGAATAAAACTAATAAATAAAATATTAAACTAATAAATAATAGTTATATAGTGAAATAATAAATAAATCAGATCACCAAAATGTGCACAAGAAAGCAACAAGTCAATGACTTCTAACTTAGTAAGTGCTTCTTATTAATAATTTGATTTGTTAAATAACTGCCGTAAAGAGCGGTTAGACTAAATTTTTATGAAATGTAGATCTAAAATATATATTAATTATTAAAAAAATCAGAACTTTTTATGCTCAACATCAATTGCTACCGAGATTTGTAGACAGCATCAATAATTCCTGTAACAGTCAGTTGAGAATTTTTTATTGGTTTAATATTTAACTAAAATTTAAAATCTGCAGTTACTTTAAAAATTAAAAAGTTTAGAAATATGAATTTTAACGATAAATAATTTTAACAACTATAACACCACGCCTTGATTCTTAACTAAGCTTAACTCAGCTTTGTTTTGGAATGGTGAAAATTAGATGAAAGGTGAATGGAATGTTTATTAATATTAACAATTCGCCTTTGAACTATGCCACCTTTGAACAGAGATTTTTACGTTCTAACTCTAGAGCTGCAATTAAATAATTATTATCATTTTTTATAAATTAACATTTTAATTATGAGTTAGTTTCTTGTTACTCTTATATTTTTTTGTACTCGTGATGATAATAAGATTTTTCAGATTTTTTAAATTCTATGATGAACAAATGTATATGACATATATATAAGAAACTATTGGAACTAGAAATAAAATTCATTTTTGTTAGTCTTAGTTGATAAGGTTTGTGAAGTGCCAACAGAAAAGCCTTTTACTTGTACTCAAAATGTATTTTGTTGTTGTCACTTAACACTTTACTATATAACTCAGTTATTTAGAGCATTACCGAAGATCATGAAGACCTTTATTGTAGAGGATAATACGTATATATATTAGGCATTAACATTCCATTGAAAAAGGTGCTTTACTGAGCACTCTGCATAAGTGAATTTAATAATCAAATTTAATACTCATCATTAAATTTGGACTGACGACTGTTGTTACAATGTTACAACACCAAAACAAAAACATCTCCTCTATTATGGAAATATTTTACACAAATCAAGAATAATTAATACACTTTTACACTACTTAAGCATAATAGTTTACAATCCAATTAAATAAATAATTTAGAATACCTGTTACTTATACCGCAATTCATTTCGTATTCCAAAGCGTTATTACTTCTTAAGAAATTCCTAACGGATCCAACAGTAAGAAGAACAATACTATAACACATCATCGCTAAAGGACTGAGCATTATAGCAACGAGTTGTGTTAACGACACGCCTTGATGAAACTCGGTTATTGCGATATATTATTTCTTTCATCATATAATATCCTAATTATTTTTAAATTATTTTATTCAATTCCTAACTAACAACATTTTGAAAGTTGAAAACATTATACGTTTTAAATATAAAAAACTTTCCTCAACAATCCGTTCCACAAATTTAACTTTACCACAAGGTCCGCCAGGACAAGCAAATTCCAATTCTTCCAATTTGCTTTCTTGCCCTCTCGTGCAATTAAATAGAGGTGACCGTTTTTTACTGTCACGAGTTGCGCCATTAAATGGATGGATGCGATAAAGATGAATTATATAGGGTTGCGAAAATAAACTAATCAAATTGTGCATATTCTTTGCTTCTATATATTTTTTGCATATTCCAAATTTTTACAATTAGATTCTGAAGCTGTCATTTGGTCTTATCGATATAGGCACTCTTAATATCTTTCATGTATAGTTTAGTTAGTACAATATATAATATATTAATATATATATTAGTTCCAACTATAATATATAATTAGGACGCAGTGGTACAATGGAAATGAGGTGGCCCGGTGCGAACTTCTATAATTCAAATTTCCTATAATTCGAACCAAATAGAGTGCAATGGGTTTGGAAGCAAATTACATACAATTTCAAAAAATTTCTTTAACTCGAAGTCTTCGTAAGTCAAAGCTTTTCTTTGCAAAATGCTATTTCGGGTTATGGAAGTTTGACTGTATTCAGCATTAAAAAAAAGTATAAACCATTCAAGGAGTATTACAAAAATCAGCCGATTGCGACAGCTGATATTGAACATAGCCAGCCAGCACTACATAGAATCATCTGAAACTAGATGTAGCACTTAAACTATTTAGATTATTTATTTATTTAACTATTTTTATCTTTCTTACATGAGTTTTAACAGAAGCACAGACTTTATTTTGAGATATATTTGGAACAATATATTAATATGTTGTGAATATTTTTATTTGAAAGTTATATTGGATAAATTATAGGAACGTCAAATTTTTCCGACGTGAGAGTATGATAATTCAATACCTTTAATAAGAGACTTTTGTGTCCTATAGAAACAACAGGTCTCTAATTGGAACAAAAAAAGTGTTAAAAATCAAATAGATGGTAGCTATATGCGCATTTATTTCTGCATTACAAATAGTTTACAATATGAAAATATTATTTTTTCACAATGTTTATAGGGAGTATTGAGATGGACCTGATCTTAATAACAAATAACAAAAAGTACATACGGAAATTTGGTTAATGGTTGATTTTATTTTCCTTCAGGTGAACCGTGTTTATATCGTCTTCATTGAATGAAATCGTCCCAACCTCATTCAGTATAGATGATTATGATTACTGAATAACTGCAACTTGAATGTAAACAAAACTATAAAATATGTTTTATTGCATCTTCGTCACAATTCTCTTACTCAAAAAGCGAACAAATTATGGAATGCAAAAAGGTTTTTCATCAGTTGTCGAATATGCGTTGACGCTTTAGAACGTCTGTCGGTGTGACTCCATAAAACGTATCCAAATTTTACACTTTTACATAAAAAAAATAGGAAGGCAAAAAATGTCAGAGCCTACTACTACCGAAAGTCTGCCAAAGACTGCTGTGACTTATATGTGTGGTGGTAAGCATAAAGCGCATTTTCTGCTTCAATAAAATTCTCAAAACTCTTTCTGTCTTTCCCGCGTTTCTTAGAATGCGAATACGAAACTATAATTCATCCTGGAGATTCAATTTATTGCCGAGCATGTGGCCATCGCATTCTGTACAAACTACGTACCAAAAGAGGTAAGTATTATTCAATTATTAAATAATAATTTTAATACTTTAAGACGAGAAATCTTAAACCATTAAATCTGGAAACCTTTCAATTGCTTCATAGTTTTTAATTCAGTATAATTTCCAATAATGAAATACCTAATGAGTTAAATCCAACATGCGTTGATCCTACCCCATCTTATAAATGATATAGTTCTGTTTGTCATAGTTTTTGTTGGTACGAATGTAATCTTAGAAGCGTTCTATATATTTAGTTTTTATTTTTCACTATTAATGGATCTTTAACTATAAAATACTTATATTACATAATCTCTGTTTGAAATGAAAATAATATACCGAAATAATGTTTATTTTCGTCTATTAATTTTATTATTTCGTAAAATGAAACTATGTCCAATGTATAGAAAAAATGTCACTGCTTACAACGGGCAGAACCAGGATTCATCAACTGTAACCATCAAAAATTTTACAAACTTTTTATCGAATTGAAGAATGTAATTTACAGGGTGGAGCAGCTGGTTTGTGTATTTCTTTTTGCTCCAACAATCTCTATATAAATGGGCTCAATATAGGCTATAACTTACTCATTTGGAGTCAGTATTTAAAGCGATCACCATAGAAAATCAGTATTGAAGCTAAATTTTCTCTTGAATGGCTGAATTGCTCTGAATGGTATTTATAATATACAGTAATCTCTATGTAAAATAACCGAATATACGAATAGAAAAGCTGATCAAGAATATTATTATTTTGTTTCCTATCAATATTCAAACATTTTGACGAACTCAATTTACTATTTTTTTCAAACCAATATAGTATAACGGGTATAATGTTTCATAAAAAACGGTTTCTCAACTTTTTTTGTGGTTCGTACTACTTAAGTTTTTCAAGAAAGTTCTATGCTTCCTTCAAGTCTTTAAAAATGTTTTGTGTTTCCTTTATGTAGTATACACAAGGATCTTTCAGAAAAGCTGATCAGATATGTCTATCCATATCTTTTTGTTTTGCTTGTACAACCTTTTATAAATATCACTTTCTAAATACCCAAAATATATTTTGCCTTCAGTATAATTTTTTAATACTGTCTGCTATTATACTGTTTTTTAAAAGATCTGTTTCTGTTAAGTTAAGAAATCTAGTTTGTAAAGCTAAGTAAGTGTCGGAACTCTCTGGTCACCATTATTCCGAAGTCAATATTATCAATTTATCTGTAATTTCAAATTATTCACTTTTTGAAAAACACTAGTTTAAAGGCATAACAGTTTATGTATGCACTTTTATTAAAATGAAGTTTTTGGGTTGCGTTGATTCCGATTTCTTAGGATCTCCACCATATTAAATAAGCTCGTGCCAATTTAACACACTTAATTTAAATGTTTTAAAATGCTTTCATATTTTTTTAATTCATCTTTTAATTCTTTTCAGTGACCGTGTTTGATGCTCGATAAACATCAGGGCTGTTATCAGGACTCGAAATTGGACCTCATGCATATATTCATGCACAAAATAAATATCTTTTAAACAATAAGCCATTGTTTTATTTTTTATTACTTACTTTTACACTTTTTTAAAATTTAATTTTTTTTAATTTATATTTATTTTAAATATTTAGAAATATTTATTAAACTAAAACAAGCTCCCGCAACATATTTTTTTTATATTAATTAATTTTGTTTTTTAATTTAATGCATTCAACGATAATAGCGTTTATTATTATTAATAAACTAGATGATAATCTAATCATTTATTTAATTATTTATTACAAATTTAAAAAACTGATTTACAATAAAACAAATAATAAATATTCAAATCCACAATAATAGACTATTGAGGATTTGTGAACTTCATATTTATTATTATAATTATTAATTAATTGTTTTAGTAAGTATTCCTTATGCTGATTAAGCTGATTATGTGTATTTTTTATCAGTTATAGTCATTTAATAAAACATATAAACAATAAACAGTTTATAATATTAAAAGTGCAGCATTTGAAGTAAAATCGGTGAAATTATAGACAATATTCTGATTAAAATCTTATCTACCACAAACGTGATATTTGAACATATATTATTTTACATATAATACTGACGATACAATAATTCAACTTTAATGAGTTTCAACTCTAGTATAATTCGTATTTAGTAATAAAGAAGGGCTATTGGTACTTAAATCATAACGAGAACTCAGTGAGCTACATGTATATGATATATATTCATAGCACAGTTAAAAAACATATATAAATTAATTTATATAGTATCAAAATGCTCTCAACTTCTTTAATAATTATAACTCAATATAATTTGTCGCCGACTGATTATTTGATTCTTTCCTCGGACCACAGGACTGCCCTCGTTTATAGTATAAACTCAAATGAATTTTACAGTATGAGTACATTATTTAAGGACGTGTCTTTCATGATAATACATGATATATCCTTGCATATTATTATTACCCTTGGTTACTGAACATGTCTATATATGATGATACATGTCAATACTTGTACATGTATATATTTAATTGAATAGAGAAATTTCGAATAGTAGTGAGCTAGAACAGCAAAAATTATTTTTATATAATTTTAATTAATTGAATTTTTGGCTGACCATTTATCTCAAACTAAGTGAATAGTTTGCAAAGATAAATATAAAAAAAAATTGATACGCGAAATATTTGTTTTTCTTAATAATTTCTTTATATATATTTTATTTATAGATTTAAAAAAAAAAAAAAACTTAGAATTCGTAGCTTATGCAAAAATTGTCCTAATTTACTACAAAGGAAAAAATATTGATACAGAATTTTTTTTTTATTAATTTCTTTTATATATTTTATTGATCAAAATTTTAAAAACTTCGTAGAAATTGTAGCTTACCCAGAAATTAGTTTTAATTAATATTAATATATTGTTAGTTAATTTATATATATGAATATTTTTTTTAAACAGTGGAATTTTTAGTTATAAATAAAAATTTTTTTTTAAAAAAAAATTTAAATTACATTATTACGCCATTCATCTTCGACTACGAAAATTCCTGGGCCCGTAGGTTTTGTTTTCCCCTTTCTATTTTCTTTTGCTGTTAAGTTCTTGTACTGAACCCTGGTATCCGCTGAATATACCCCGGCCGTGGGGCATGGTCAGAAATACGACTGGGTCGTTAATGGAGTATATTGTTGTACGAAGTGGCTGTTAACCGAGATATAGGTGTATAAGTATGTAAAATGACGCTATTGTTGGAATGCTAATGAATGCTTCATCAGTTCGGCTTCTCCCCTGCGCTCTGCAGTGTGGTCCACAAATTTCTGTCCAACAGAACCTTTCAGGTTCGAGTCGGTTCCTCTCTGTCCTGTGATTTCCCCATAGACGCCGGTGTCCCTCAAGGCTCGGTTCTAGGACCCCTCCATTTTAACCAGTTTATAGCAGACATTCCTCTCCCGCGGGCCCTGTTAAGCAAATCTGCTTCGCCGATGACTGCCTTGTCTTCATGCGGTCATCTAATCCTCACCGCCTTTCCAATGAGCTTAATGCCCACCTTGGATCTCTCTTCGACTATTACACCAGGTGGAAGATTAAACTCAACCCCTCTAAGATCTCTGCCATTACCTTTCTTGGCCAGCAGCGTGATCGTCCTAGAGGTTTTAGCACTTCTAATATTAAGGTTAAGCTGAACAACTCTCCAATTCAGCTTGTCCCCAAGCTGAAATATCTTGGCATTGTCTTCTCATCTCAACACAATTTTATATCACATGTTGACTATGCCATCCGTAACGCCCGGTTCAGGCACACTCAACTCAAAACTGCACTTCGAAGACACAACCAACTTAACTGCAAAGTTAAGTTACTATGCTATAAGCAGCTTATTCGTCCTCTCCTCACTTATGCCTGCCCTATTTGGTCTGCCATCACTTCTGCTCAGATGGAAAGAATCCGCCTGTTTGAGCGGAAACTTCTTCGTGATTGCACCAACTATAAACGCAAGCCTAATCGCAAGCACTTCTCTATCTCCACTCTGTGTGACAATGCCAAGATCACTCGTATTGATGAGTACCTTTTGACACTCGCCCATAGGTATCTCACCCGGTTCCACGACCTCCCTCTGATGTCTCTTGTCCAGATACCCTCCCAGTAGACCTTGTTCTAGCTTTACGTTTTAAACCTCCACAGTAACTTCTCCACTATTTTGATGAGCTGGATCAAAATCCTCTCGCTATTTCTCTTTTTAACCGCGGCATTCGTGACCCTGGTCACAAAATATATCACTAGTCTCATCCCGCTAACTAGCCGTAAACCCACCACCTTCATTATTATCCTTTCTTCTTAATTCATGCCCTTGCTTTGTGGCTTAGATGAACTTAGTTCACTAGGTATTAAGTCTATCTACTTTTTTCTCCACTGATTACTGGAATGAAGTTCCCACATTGCTGTGGAAATCTTCTCCATTCATTCCTAAGAGGTGGTTTTAGTGGGTTCAAGTCTCACACTGTGGCTTTCGATGCTTTCCACTTACTGCACAAAAAAAAAAAAAAAAAAAATGCTAATGAAATGGAAGCGAAAAGGAGTGTTCAAAATAAGGTCGGCAAAGCTTGATGTGTAATAGAAAGCGACGTATAGTGACACGAGTTCGGTCAAAATCCAAATAAAATTAAAGCTGAAAATTAAACCATTTTGAAATGCGGTTTAATTAACAATTTTTCTATTAAAAAAAAGTTTGAAAATACTTGACACATGTGTTTATGATAGTTTTGCTAATACAATTCTAAAAATTTTATAGCATTGTCTCTACTTTCAAGTTGCTCTAAAAAAAGAGTTGCCAATTTTATAAAGATTTGAGATTTTTTCCCGTTTGACAATGCCAAATGTTTATTTATTTGTCAAAAAAATATGAGATACAGCCTATCAGTAGTGATATCATTAGTGATAGGCTGTATGTAATTTGACGTACGAAACTTTGAACATAAATAAAGATAACATCGCGGTGAAAAGTGGTGAAAAGCGTCGCCCAAAACTTCTTATACAAACTAATACAAGTACGTACTAATAGTTTTTATTACTAGTTCGATAGCTGCGCAAATTAGAAATAAATCCATTTTTGTAGTGGCAAGTACTGTAAAAGTAGTAAATCTTTTTCAACTTTCCATAAATGTGAAGAACAGGAATCAAGAGGAGATAATAACAACTCTTTTAGATATGATTAAAAATAAGATATTTGTTCCAATTAACTCAAATAAACAACAACAACAGAAATATAAGATTTTATTTAAATGAGTTCAATACACGATGGATGAATTGTCCACGCCATAAAGAAAAGCGATTGAAGCAAGCAATATCTCAAGATACTGTTCAAAAAAAACTTACTCGTGCAATGGATACAATAAAAAAAAATCCTATTGGAGTATTCTTTGAAGAAGCATTAGAAGCCCATCTCTAAGCAAATACATAAAAGTCGTTTATTTCACAGTAGGTAAATTTATTTTTTAAAGAATTTGTGACTGACTCTAGAGACTCATAATTCCGATGAAAGCAATATCTAAATTATGTTGTTAATGTATAAATTCAAGCTTTGTTTATTTAGTTTTGATGATCAAGTAAGTAAGTTTGTATAAATTTCACTAAAATTAATCAATACTTATTGATTTGAATGTTTAACTTTGTGGGGGACGAGTGCGTAAAAATTGGCAAATCATGCGCATTATCCAGAAATGTTTTTATATTGTAAAAACAATTCTCTAAGCAAAATTTTATTGAAATTGATTCGTGTTTGTTTATTTTTACCAATAACTTTGTATGGCAGGTGGGCGTAAAAACAGATACATCACACCCATACTTCGGAAATTTTTTAATATCATCAAAATACGCCACTGCTTATACGAGTATGAATGAACTCCTTACAATGTGCGACGTCGACCCAAGCGAACAAGCCAGACATAGTGTGTAATACCCGCTTAAAGCATAAATCAAATTCATATAGTTACATCGTGCGAATCTGTGTATGGGCTGCCAAATATACTCATAAAAATTTTAAAGGAACGGAACAAGTCTTCTTTCTTATTGGTTATTGACCGACAAGAGACTAATCGGTCGTTGGTCGGATATTTTTTTTTTGAAACGCTTGTGTTTTTACAATTAACAATTGGGTTCTTAAGGTTGGTATATCTTTTGTTCTGCAAAATTTGTGAATTGTGATTTGTGGTTCGTGATTCGTGATATATGCAACGTTTTTCAATTAAATATTTTCAATTAATTCTGAAACTTCCTAAAAATGTTTTATTAAAGATTTTTGACTTTTTGTAATCGACAAAAAACTTGAAAAAGCAGTCAGTTTTGTTTGTTCCAAAGAATAAAATTTAAGTACAAAATTCAATTACTGGACGGCGTTCGATAATGAGGAGATCGATTACACATTAGAAATGGAAGGTGATGCTCTTCAAACTGATGTTCTTGCAACCGAATCTGAGGAAATTTTAAATGAAGAAACTGATCTTAAAAATAGCAATGTGGACAAAAGTAATTTT